CAATTCCATCTTTCTTCGAGACAGAAATTTCTTCGATCCTTCCTACTTTGAGTTCATGCTCAAGTTCTCTGAACTGGGACATCATTACGCCCCTGTCACGGATTACTCACTACAACTCGCCTCCATTCATCAGCCCGGATTCCAATTTCCGAAATTTCTGACGATTTTCATGATCGAGATCCTTGTTCATGCCTCCGACGGTGAGATTGACTCGGAATTTCCGTGGAATTTCATCTGAACGTAGTGTAGGTGACAAATATGTTCGGCCGTTTGTAGATAGACTGAAGATGCTGTATCATAAGAACGTAGCTGTATGTAAATGGTTTTTAACTTACCTGATGGAGTCATCACTCGTCAAGGAACTTTTGTTGGGTGAGTGTTCCGTGAAATTTCACACGATACGTACTGATACGTACAGAATGTCCCAACGAGAAGACTCGCATCTACATCGCGGACCTCATCTCCCAGGTTTTATTTCATTTTATTCTGTATCTACAACGCTCACACCTCTCAGTCCCTTCACGTGGTAGCTCCCTACGAATACGAATTTTATTTCGAGATGATGGATTCTACAACGAGCGCAGGTCGTCACGAATACTCGAATTCCCAACGAGTTTTCCGCTCCATCTGCCCTCGCTTCATGGACGTCGTCCTCTCCTTACTCGAAGACTCTCGCATCTACTGGAAGCGTTTCAAACAAGTGAGACGATCTACAACCAGCCATTCGATTATTCACAGAGAGTAGTATTTTCAAGTCATTCGAGACTATGCATCCATGGGCGTTGCCGAGAGACAACACTTGCTGTACAGAGAGATCGTTTCCCAGTATTCCGACTGGTTCCTGGGAAAAACGAAGAGGGGTCAGGTACGCACAGATCTTCCGATTATCCGGTATCTCATCGAAATTTCAGTCTCGCGTCCTCGTGATGGATCAATTCAATCTTCCGGACTTGACTTACTTCATCTCTACCCTCTCTATCCTCTACCGTGGTTGCTATAACAACGGTACAAGAGACACACTCCCTCCCACCACCCTCCCCAACACCCAACTCATCGACATGCCCCAGAACGGTGAAATTTCATCGGAAATTTCCGTCTTCGCGAAATTTCGCTGACGTTTCACAGAATACAAGGCACTCTTCCAAAACAGTTTCTTCACCTCCATGTTAGAGATGGAGTACAACACTCCCGCCGTAACTGAAATCATCCGTCACGCCTGCTGGGAGGATTTAAAGAGGACAAAGTCTGTCTTAGAGGTCCTCCTAACTGGTATGGAGAAGAGTAAGGAAGAGCTACCTCATCATGAGGTGATGGCGTCCCTGTTACAAATGGACGACTCTCTTCAGAAGACACGTGTCATCCTGACCGTGTCTTCTTTCGAGGTGGCACAAAAGAATGGGACGACGGCCGGGGGTGGGCTATTGGCTCAGGTGAAAATTCGTAGAAATTCGATTTTGACGCGTTGTAGATACAACACACTTGTAAGACAGACTCGGGAGTCTTTCTACAATTGATCCGGTTTCTCATGAGCCTCATAGAGGGGATACCCATCGTAGAGGAGTACTGCGCAGAGCAGATCCGAGAGGTGATTCATCTACAACGAGTCATTGGTGGGTTGTAGATCGACTGACTCCACCAGATCCTTCGCGTCCGAGAGATGATGGAGACGAAGATTTCTCTCCAAGAGGAACTCCCCTTCCAACAGGCGACGGCATCCGTCGATGCCTTCTTAGAAAAGTACAAGAATCACAACCCGACACCCTCGTCAGACAGAGAGAGGGAGCTGATGGAGGATCTCGATGACTTTAGAAGGGAGAACGCCAAGTTGAAGGAAGCTCTCGACCGATACGCCATGGAGTCAAAGACCGTCCCCGTTCCAGCTTTCATGCGAACGCAAAAGTGGGCCCTGGAGAAGAAGAGTGGATGGCTCACGACGAAGGCAACCCTCTTTGCAAATGCGGATTCAAACAGTGAGGAGAACATGAAGGATGAGATCTGATGTTTCACGTCAGGTGACAGCACCGAGGAAGAGATCGAACAGAGACCCAGCACGTGGTCGACAGCGACACCTTCTAATTCGACGCCACCGGTCGACGAGATCTTCCGCAGGGCTCAGGCGCTGTGTGACATCTTGATGTTACAGTCCACCGACGCCGCCATCGCAGCTCTTAAGAGGACAAATTACGACATCGATGCCGCTGCATCTCTCTTGTGCGCAGGTTCGTGTCACATGATGCATGTGATGTCGGATGACTCATGTTTGCAGGTGAGATCGATCTCAACACGGTGACGGTGGAGAAACCAACGGTAGCTGCGAGTCGAACACCTTACGCCACGGGTTCTTTTGAAGACCTCCCTCGACGGACGACGGAAGAGCTATGATGAGGAAGTGATGAATGTGATAAAGGATCTTCATTCTATTGAAGAGACGTTTCTGTGATGCATCTCTCGCTCATCTCGATCAACATACAGGTGCATACATCTCCTGTTACCGAAACCCTTCTTCTGTTTTCTGGTCTTCTTTCCTCTGTGACTCAACGCCTCTGATCACAAGAGAAAAATCGTTCAGATACAATGGTAAGACGCTCCTCGGTCGAGAGTGATGTGTGTTTTGTCAATTCTGATATTGTAAGACATGAAGGTGGAAACCATCGTGAAATGAACGGAAATGTACCTTCGTAGCCACGGGGGCACGGCTTCACAGAAACACGACATGAATTTTGGTGGACCATTGTCGCGAGAGGACGCGAAATAAACGCACTCGTGGCACTTTAGAAGAAGAGTAAGGTCAAATACATAAACCGAGAGACAAGCATCATAGGCGAGAGCGTCGAGGCAGGACAACCCCAAAAAAAATGACTCTCTCCCAAGAGCCAGACGCTGAAAATCTCGATCTCTCTGAACTCGGGAGGAAAGAGGTATTCTGCAATATCAACACTCAGTGAACACGAAATACATTCCATCTCACATGCACTTGCCATACACTCGCAAACACATCGCGGACCGATTGGCTGCTGATTAGAGTAGTTTTATTCTACTGAAGTCTATCGTACCCTTCCTTTGCATTTTAATGGGGTTTTACGGTTGGACTGATACCGCTGGCCATGATATACGAGACTGGGTATTCTATCCTCTACTCTACCTTGCTCACATTCATCCTTGGATATTTCAGACATCAATGGCTCAGCGTATCCAAGTGAGAGTCGATGCTGCAAACGAGCATTGAATGGAATGCAGGCGTCAGGTGGAAGCGATTCAACTGTTCGATCAACACATTGGATCGTGGAAGTTTAAGCGACACACCAACAGAGAATTTGGTACGTACCTCTTCCAGCGAAAAAGAATGCGCACGTGGCTCATTGTTGGCGTCAATCTCATCATGATTGCCGGTGTCGTCTTTCTTTGTGAGCATGATTCGGATGTATCCCTGTGACTCACTTGAACAGTCTTCCTTGCGGCAATTGCCCCCAATCAAGACTTTGATGTCATCATCTCCATCGTAAAGCTCGTACCCGTGTTCGTCTTCATGCTGCTCTTCCTCATCGTGTATAACGCCCCCTACCCTCGTAAAGGTTACATCTATACCATGGGTCGACTGTATCGATTACGACCCGAGGGGTGGCCATCCACTTGCGTGGTTTTCAGTCACACTTGTAGCCCAAACTTTTGTGTCACGTACTGGCCCAAAACTTCTGTGTTGGACTGAACCGAGTCTCTTCGCAGAAACCTCGAATCTACGTCACAGAGAAGCATCACAAACATACACACACACACATCACACGACATGCAGTCCACCGGCGAAAGAAGAATCAACGAGAACTATATCATTTGGTTCACATTTGAAGACCGCTGCTACACAGCAAATACCTCGAGGCCTGATTTCATCCACGATACGGCCAGTCACTTCATCCAACTTCATGGCCCTCTCCTGATGAGGGGAGGCGTAGGTGAACAGGAGGACACCATAGTGGCATTGTTTAGAGAGAGGAGGCCGATCACAGATGTCATTGCGCCCAATGTGGCCATAATTTTGGACGATGTTGGACATGGCATTTCTCGAATGGTTACTCTTTACTACTTATAAAGAACAAAGTGATTTCGATGATGATCTATTATTCTTGACATTTAGCGGCGATTCGTCGTGATCTCTGGTGATAGAGGTAGAGGACGACTGCAATGACGCCCAAGATCATTGCAGCGACGATGATCCAGAATACAAGGCGTCATTTTCGTAGAAAGTGCTCATCAATATCCAGATGAAAACGCCCCATTGCACTCCGGTCAAGATTGCGTCTATGAGATCTTTGGCTTTTTCACTGGACAGTTGATCGGTCGTTTTGCCTTTCGTCATTATCCTTTAATATGTAGATGAAAAACAGAGTCTCTTGTCTGGTGGCTGATTGGCTGATCGGAGGAGATTGAATGTTGCAATGCTGGTGCTTATACCTGTGCATGTTTGACTGCTTGGTTGTTGACGTAGTTTATCTTGGAGATCCTTCAGGAGTTTGTTGAAGTACTTCTTGACAGCGTTGACCCCGCCCATATTGTCCTGCAGATGGCAGCAGAAATGCAAGGAGTGCAGCACACGAAGAACCCACCATGCTGCACGGAAACTCTTTGTTGTCTGAGTCTTGAGGAGAATAATCTTTGCTCCTATGGGACAGTTCTTGTTCGTATTTCAATCTCTCCTCGTTGGTGACAGAAGTTATCAAAATTGGGAGGGCCATGTAGACAGCATCATGTTGTCAGCTGCAGACTATTATCTATTCATGTTAACAATTGTGGGCCATTGTTGTACCATGTGTAAATTGTCATCAAGAGTGCAGTCGTCAACTGGACATATATCTCCGAGACAACGTCAGCTCCTTCTTCTGTTTCCTCGTAAGACGGGGATACAACATAAACATCCTCTATAGTTGTTCCTGTGGTGCTCGTTCACCTAAGCAAAATATGCTGCACCACAATACATTGTTGCATATCGAGCTGATGACATAAACATCACCCGCCTAGCTCAGCTGGAAGAGCGGTAGCCTCCTAAGTTACAAGTCGTGGGTTCAATCCCCACGGTGGGTGCTTTTTGCTGATTTTTGTACAATTTATCCCTGGTTACCAGTGTTGTAGATGGTGATTGAGATCAGAGAGGGAGATCTGATCTGTGTTCTCGATGATGCAAAGCCTTAGACGTCTGAGTCTGGGTTCACACCTTCTGAGCTCGAATGGCAGCCGAGCCATTGTCAATCGACCCCAAATGATTCGATCAGCTGCACCATTCAACTTTCAAAGATGCATGGCTAACATCCCCAGAATCAATCCAAAGAGTGAACTATGTCTCACTGTTCACACCTTGACATAATATAGTCATGAAGAAGATCGAACCGGCCCCCGCAGCTGCCGCCCCCACCTCCTCTAATCTGCTAGATCAAACGATTGAGGAGCTGGAATCCAAACAGAGGAAAGATCTTCTCACAAGAGAAGCAGAGAAGCAATCAGAGAGGAAGGTCACATACCAGCAAGCTCTCCATTGGAAGGGTGTCCGAAAGGGTTATGCCGCCAAAGGAAGATATCAAGAGGTAGCCAAGAACCATCCGGGTGAGTCCATCTATCTCGATACATTATCGATTATCAACGATGGAAATGGATGACTTCATGCATTCACACCTTCGACTCTCCTACAAATTCATGTCTTCTCGACACTCCTCTCATTGCATTTTGGAACATTTGCAAATCAACTCACTATCATTCCAGGTAATGTGAAGAAGCCCAAACGCTTCAGAGCCGCCGACGAGGCCTGGGCCAAACTGAGCATGATCAAACACAGCATGAAGAAGATGGAGAACATCGTGTGGCTCATCCGAAAGAAGACCTTCGCCGAGGCCATCAAACAGCTCCAGCTCTGTGGAAAGGTGAAGACGAAGAGAAGAGAAGTGGCTGATGAGATGTGTAGGCCGTCGCTCCCGATCTCATCAAATTACTCTTGTCTGCGAGAGCTAACGCCGAGAACAATTACAGTATGGATCGTTCTCGTCTCATCGTCTGTGAGTCATCGACATCCTCATCATCGACGTCTCTCTCATGTTCATTCACATGATCCATCGAGTCATTCGGAATCACATCATCTTTCACCATCGATCACTCTATTCATCACCATCATTGCATCACATCGATTGTTCTGACGGATCGACAGCCGAGGTCCTGGTCGGCAAAGACATGGACTTGAAGAGGATGATCATCATGGGCAGAGGAAGAACTGGTCTTCTCAAGCACAGACACTGCAGAGTGACCGTCATTCTGAAGGAGATGCCCGAGGAACATTTCATGACGCCAAGGGAGAAGAGAGACTTGAAAAGGAGACAAGACCAGGAGGACAGAGAACTGACCTCAGCCGAATAAAGAACTGCAGGAGTGTTTCAATGGAATCTACGTGTGCATTCTTCACATCATACCGACATCATCTTCATCCTCGAGAACACATCGATTGGGAAGATGATGCCAATGTCTATGATGTTGGAAGGACGACGGAGTCGAATGGAAACGAAGAGTTCATATGTTAAAGAAGCAGCTCCTGCGGAGATGTCACCTCCCTAGGTATTTTCACAAAGAAGCTTGAGAATGACGCACCCGTACTCAACGTACGGAACACTAGGGACACCAACCGACAACGGGTAAAAGATGGGGTCCCTTTGATCATTTCGAAAGCTTCCATCGAAGCAGATGCTGCTCTCCATCCGGCTCTGTCTCCTTCTGGCCATCGTTGTACATGTCTGTGCCATCCAATGCACCAGTGACACGGGTGATTTTGGAGGGGACGTACAGAAGGGTGAGAAGAAGATGGTAGACGTCTCTGACGGTGTCAGCGATCGCGGATGCACTGGTGAATTGCACAGGGAATGCCGTAGTGGAAGTCTCTATCTGGGATAATGGGAAGAACTACACAATCGACGGTTCTACCTACAATTACAGCGTAATATTGAGAGGTAACTCTCTTTCGGTTCAAGATGCGGACATCAAGTTCTCCCGATTGTCGATGGTATCATTGGAAGGCCTCAATCTATTCGGCAATGAAACGAGAATCCTCTTCGACACCTGCAACGGTGTCTATTTCCGGAACATGAGTGTGCAGAATCTCACCACCGCCATTTCCATCATCGGTTCTCAAGTGCTATCCATATCTGGTTCTATATTCTCACACAACACCAACACCATCTTTGCGGCCACTGCAGCTTCTATTAGAGTCGACCAAAGTAATTTCCTCAACAACGTCGTCCCATCAGGATCGGCGAATGCTCTCATCTATTGCACTGGTGGAAGCATCAATGTCACACGATCCATATTTCAAGGTGTGACGGATCGATGCATCATTCCAGCACAGAACACTAAACACATGACAGACAACCTGTTAGACACTTGCGCACTATACTTTGAAGCAAACTCCTCCTTCGTGGACACAACCTTTGCTCGTAATCAAGTGACTCAAGACTTTCTCATAGCCTCGGCTGATGGACTCGATGCTATCATTCAAAACACCACCTTCGAATCCAACACAGGTCCTCTCATGGCTTCCCACGACCTCACCGTCACAAACTCGACTTTCAGAGGCAATCAGCTCGTCGACCGCCTCCATTACGGCTTGATCTACACATCTCACGCTCTTCACATCACTTCTTCCACTCTCCTCCAGAATGGAGGAACAACACCAGACTTTGGCGTCATTAGATCTGAGACGTCCATCACAATGGAAAACACCAACATCACCGAAAACACGTTCTCTTCTATCACTTTCGGCCAATCAGCCTTCCTTCTCTGCCAGCCACGAGTTCCCTCCACGACTATACTTCCATGTCCCATCACCATCACATCGGTCACATGTGATTCCAACTCGGCCGCATCCATCGCCGGCTGTGGTATCACCATCTCGAACAGCACCTTTCGTGGCAATTCAGACAGTTCCATCTTTGACTTGGGGAACCCTCAGATGAGAGGTAGTGCTTTTTTGGATTACGCGGGAACACCAGATGGAAGTGATGGTGTCATCCCAATGTTCACATCGTTCGGGGGTGGCATCATCATAGACTCATGCGACTTCTACAACAACACCATGGTGGCTGGTGTGGGTAACGGTGGTCAGTCTGAAATCAACAACAGCACGTTCAGGTGACAACTATCCCACAAACTGATGAGATTAAAATGAATATCGATTGAATTTAATTCAGGAACAACACCGGCACCTCCATCTCGTTGACTGCGGGCGACCTCAACGTCTTCAACTCGACTTTTTTTGGCGGGAACAGCTGTCCCGCCATCGGGGGTTGTGCCATATCTGTCGTGGCAGTCTTCAGCCAGTCTAACGTCAATATCACTGGTTCACATTTCTCCTCTTACAGAGCTCATCAGGGTGCAGCTGTCCTCTTGACGAACGCAACGGTCACACTGAACGGTTGTCTCTTCTCTGAGAATCACGCGGAGACGTATGGAGGTGAGAAGATGAGATGATGATGATGATGATGGGGGACAGGTGCTATTCTATCGGTCAAAACGGCCCTCCATGTTACCAAGACGAGATTTAAGAAGAACACGTGAGTCGATGATGACCTTCATCATCGTGACTGTGATCACATCGTGAGCGCGATGGATTGATGATGGCAGGGCCAACTTGTACGGTGGTTCCATCTATGAGACGCAAGACATCAGTCTCGTCATATCAACTCCGACCCCGATGCCAACTGGAATTTGAATAGACGAGAGGAAATGATATGTATATTTGATAAACATGATTATCGGCCATCTTCTATGCGGAACTCGACCACTTCAGGAGAAACTCTATTCATGTTCGGATCTGCCATGGCGGTGGAAAATTTGGCCTTCCTGCACACGCGATCAATGTCGATGAACGGTTGATGAAGGATGCGACGATGATCATGACGATGATCATGACGATGATCATGACGATGATCATGACGATGATCATGACGATGATCATGACGAAGATGATGAAGAACGTTGTCCAACTCACTCGTAATGCTTCTTCTGAGGGAGAACGTAAACTATTCAATGTCAGAACGATCGACTCGCCCGAATCATCCTCACTCGCTAAGATGTCCACGATGGTCGTAGCCGCTCCAGTCAAGACTAATCCAGAGACGATCGATCCCAATAGGGCGGGAAAATTGAAGACACCGATTTGACCTCGTCCTCCCTCAGCTCTTCTACGTCGAATTTTCCTTCAAACTCTCACCTGATTGTACGAAGGCGATACTGATACCGTGGCGGTTCACCGCAGTGCTGGGTGTATCACCGTCAAATCTCGTGGTATCCACACCGGATATGGCTGCTACCGAATATCTGAACGAATGAGCATCATAAAGGTACAGAAGAGAAGTCCTCACTGGTAAGCGATGTTCGTCGCGTTAGATTGGCTGTTGACGTATTTGATGATGACGATGAGTTGCACGCCATCGTACCGCAGTGAATTCTTAGAGCCCTTGACTCCGGAGGGTGCTGTTCGAATGAGAAGGTCGCATTAGAATGAAACCCACAATCTAACGAATCGATGCCGGCCAATGAGAGCAAGTCGTCCACGGTGATGATATCATACACACGTCCCTGTACCCTTTAGAACCTTCTATCGTGGATAACTCACGTCTGAGAGCTCCTGGGCGTCCCATTTGGATCCATCCTTCATCGTCCACACCCCTGCCATCTCCGAGCTCTTTCCCACGTAGTCGATTTTCAATGCGTAAGCGACGTGGTCGATGGCCAGCTGATATTTGTGAGGATGACTGACGAAGAGGTGGTGGTGATGGAGGACGACGTCACGAGGACGACACTCACGGTGTATCGCTCGAGATCGGCTACGTATGCGCGAGTAACATTGAGCGTTGGATCGTTGAGATTCATCAGACAATTGACATCGGTCTGAACCTGCGACCAAGTGATCAGATTTGTGAGCGGCTTGAGAAGAATCTGAAGAGACGTCGATGAGGTAATTACCACGTCGTTACTGCAGGAGAGACCGAGAGCCATGAGGTCCCGTTGATAGTGTTTGGTTCGGCTGGTGATGAATAGCGGAGACGTCT